TGTGTGTGTGTGTTATACGTAGTATATTACAAACACTAAACGGAATTGGGAAAATATATAATAATGCTGAAACACGTGAAATGCGCGGCCTCGTCAGCTGAGCCTTCACATGCTTTGCCCCCAAACACTGCCGTCGTCTTCTCGGATCTGTGGCGATTCGTGATGCCCCCGTTGCAGTCTTTCGTGCATTTGCTCCATTCGTCCCAGCTCGCCCATTCGCAATGGATTGGACATGGGGCATCCTCACAAGAATCTATTTGGATCAAGTCACTGGCATTGCACGGAGAACCTCCCAGCGAGGGATGGACCAGAATAGCACGTGTCCGGCTGATCCGGCCACCAGGCCCACAGGAAGTTGAACATTCTGACCATGTCCCCAGCTTCCGAATGTACAATCAACAGGACAAGGAGCAAAAGTGCAAACCTCAGATCTTCCTAAAATTCTCCTGTACAAGGACATGTCTACAAGGTGCACATCTACTTCCCCTGCCTTTTGCAACTAGAAACTGCTCAGCTCAGGAATGACACATGCACGAAGAACAGTCACCACCCTACCATTCAAATCTTCAGAAGAGAAAAAGAAGTGGATGAAAGAGAAAATGATGCGAGTCTCTATGCGGTGAGTGCAGTGGTCCGAGCATTGGTCATACATACATTGATACATAGCGGCACTGGCATGCACTTGTAATGGTTGGTAAATGTTTGCAATATGTGGCGAGATGAATGTAGGTGAACAAACAATTAATGATGGGATCCTTATTTAAAGAATACGTATATATATATATACACATATATAAAACAAGTACGATTTGGCCGCACATGGCTGCACATGTGCCCTGAAAACCATGAGCTGGATATGCGGTGGAAAACACTCCCGTATACTGCTGTCCATCTCCCGGACAGAACGGCGTCCACTCAGAACCCCTGTTCTGGGCACATTTGTAGTGCTGTATATCTCATGGCGCGTTCTTCATCTGTTTCATCTGTTTCTCCATCCATGTTCATCGTCTTCTGCAATCTGCATTGCGTTCTTGCTTGTTTGCATGTTTCGCTTCTCTCCAAGCCCCGCGGCCTGCGATTCAGACGGCCAACACATGGGACGAAGAAAATGTAAAACTACGCCTACTAGGCATGCAGGAGAGAATCAGGAAACGCAACACTCACGAAGACATTGCCCCACTCTGGCAGCACCAACACGTAGAAAAAGGAACTGAAGGCAAAACTACTAGTAACAAGAAGTTACTAGCAACAAGTGCATCGCCATTAGTTTCCACAGGCTCGCCAGCTCGCGGCATCTGAAGCACTCGTGGCAACACTGTAGCGTGCTGGGCAGGGTTCCTGGCACAAGCCACACGATCTCCGTGGTCTTGCGTGCCCACTACCTTTTTGAGCAGACTTCATAATGAATATTGGTCTGCCAGGTGAGGTGGACATGGCGCCAGGTCAGCTATATCCGATGAAATGCGTGCCGGTTGAGTTCTGCAGCTGGTTGCTGCAAACCCCTGAGTGTGGGTGCTTGCGGCTTAACAACAACTGGCATGTGCCACAATTTCTGGCCACTTGAGCGAGACGGCCATCAATTTTCGACTGCGACGCAGGGTGTCTGAAGGTATGGTCCTGGTCCAGGCTTTCACGTGTGTCTGTTGCTTTGCAGTTTTGGGGCTGTCCAATCTCACACGAAAATTGCATATATATATATATAATTGTACTTCTGAAAAAGGGTCCGGCATCAATTCTATCTATTGTAGCATTGCTTGCTTCTGCCTACGGGCCTCTTAATAAAAAAAAAACAAACTGGAGAGGGTGTTGAGAAGAATCAGCATCCTCTTTAATCGACAATACCATGGTCAAGTGCCCTCCCTAGGATGTGCAAGGCATTTGGTCACAAGACTCTTTGAACCACCCCACCAGTGACCACTATTGAGCGGGGGAACAAGAACAAAGGATTCAGCGGACCATGAGTGCACTTCTCATGAAAGCTCTGTCAATATCATATTTAATAATTAGCCCAGCTGGAGACCCCAATAGCAAGATACAAACCGGGACAAAAA